GGATTTTTGGGTTATTTTTGGCGCCCCCTAGAACCTAAACCATGGGGTGCAGCATCATGATTTGAATAACTTTTAATGGCCATGGGGTGTAGATTGGCCTGAGCAAATGTGGTGCCAGTGGAACGAAAGCCTTCGGAGGAGTTAGCGAAATTCCAATGTGTGCGTATCGGCAAAAAATGCGGAATAACCCTTTAACTGTACATTTGACAGATACGCGCGCATTGACTTTTTTGTAGATCTTATTGAGTTACATGTGTGTGTCAATTTTTGTGTCATTTTGACAAAGCGTATAGGCGTGACACTCAACAATGTGTATTTTCACCTTAGGGGACAAGAAAAAATGGACTTTTTTCTCCTGCCATGGGGGGGCGCTCTTTTGGGGAGTAAAAATTCCTTCACAAATGTGGTGATGGCTGGACATTGCATCATCCTAGAAAACTTGGAGGCCAGTGAGGACAAAAATAAAAAGTTATAAGACTTTTAAATATGTGGATTTTAGTGTTATCTTTGGCGCCCCCTAGAACCTAAACCGTGGGGTGCAGCGTCATGATTTGAATAACTTTTAATGGCCATGGGGTGTAGATTGGCCTGAGCAAATGTGGTGCCGGTGGAACGAAAGCCTTCGGAGGAGTTAGCGAAATTCCAATGTGTGCGGATCGGCAAAAAATGCGAAATAACCCTTTAACCGTACATTTGACAGATACGCCCGCACTGACTTTTTTGTAGATCTTATTGAGATACATGTGTGTGTCAATTTTTGTGTCATTTTGACAAAGCGTACAGGCGTGACAGTCAATAGTGTGAATTTTCACCTTAGGGGGCGCTATGGAGCCATTTTGCATTTTCTTGTTTGGGCGACTTCGGAATATCAAATTTTTCACCAGGCCCGGTCGTCCTGCCAAATTTCATGAGTTTTCGCCAGTGGGAAGTGGGCCATTTTCCAGTTCAAAGGGGAGGAAAAATAATAATAACTAGGGCCCCGTTGGGGCACTGGCGGGCCCGAGCTGTGTCGCGCCCCCCCCCCCCCCCCCCACCAATGCGCTGCCTCCCCGTCCCATTCGCGTCCTCTGGCCATCGTCCTCTCTGGTAACGCCCATCACTGCAAAGACCCTTTTCCTTCATCGGCGTTTGCTGTTCTTCCTGCCAGTGCGTGTTGCTTTCACTTACACTTGCCACAGCCAGCCTCGTGAGTGCCTAGCCTATTGGATATCACTGTCACCTACACAGGACAGTCATTACCTTTCTATTAATACTTTGTTTTTTAATTTCACATTAATTTCCATATTGTATAAACGACTGGAAAAAACTTGAGCCCCTGCCCCTGTATAATCATGTGCACGTCCCTGTTCTCGCTCCAAGGTGAATCTTCACTGCTCATGTTCTCCTCAGAAGCACTCACCTCACTCCCCTCAGGTAACTGTACACATGCACCAACTGCCTGCTTCAGGTTTGGATGGAGCTTCATGGTTGTCTTTTGGAGAAATGACCAGTCAAGTTGTGTTTGAAATTTGATTTTTTTCAGGGGCAAAAGGAGCCTCTGCATTGTTGTCAAATATGCAAATAGCATGTTTTTGCAGGTGCTAAAAAACAGACTCTGAGTGTGTGTGTGTGTGTGTGTGTGTGTGTGTGTGTGTGTGTGTCTGTGTTTGTGTGTGTCTGTGTGTGTGTATCCTGCAGTACTCTGTACTCCTGCAGTGGCCAAAACGACTTTTAAGAATGTGGATATTTGGGTCATCTTTGGCGCCCCCTAGAACGTAAACCATGGGGTGCAGCGGCATGATTTTTACAACTTTGAATGGCCATGGGATGTAGATCGGCTTGAGCAAATTTGGTGTCGGTGGGAAGAAAGCCTTAGGAGGAGTTAGCCACATTCCAATGTGTGCGAATCTGCAAAAAATGCGAAATAGCCCTTTAACCGTACATTTTACAGATACGTGCCCATTGACTTTTTCGTAGATCTTATTGAGATACACGTGATTGTCAAATTTTGGGTCAATATGACAAAGCGTATAGGCGTGACACTCAACAATGTGTATTTTCACCTTAGGGGACAAGAAAAAATTGACTTTTTTCTCCTGCCATGTGGGGGCGCTCTTTTGGGGAGTAAAAATTCCTTCACAAATGTGTTGATGGCTGGACATTGCATCATCCTAGAGAACTTGGAGGCCAGTGAGGACAAAAATAAAAAGTTATAAGACTTTTAAGACTGTGGATTTTTGGGTTATCTTTGGCGCCCCCTAGAACGTAAACTGTGGGGTGCAGCGTCATGATTTGTACAACTTTTAATGGCCATGGGGTGTAGATTGGCCTGAGCAAATGTGGTGCCGGTGGAACGAATGCCTTCGGAGGAGTTAGCGAAATTCCAATGTGTGCAGATCGGCAAAAAATGCGAAATAACCCTCTAACTGTACATTTCACAGATGCGCCCGCGCTGACTTTTTCGTAGAACGTATTGAGATACACGTGTGTGTCAATTTTTGTGTCAATATGACAAAGCGTACAGGCGTGACAGTCAATAGTGTGAATTTTCGCCTTAGGGGGCGCTATGGAGCCATTTTGCATTTTATTGTTTGGGCGACTTCAGAATATCGAATTTTTCACCAGGCCCGGTCGTCCTGCCAAATTTCATGAGTTTTCGCCAGTGGGAAGTGGGCCATTTTCCAGTTTAAAGCGGAGGAAAAATAATAATAATAACAAAAGAAGAATCCATCAGGAACAAGAGGGCTCTCGCAGCTGCTTAGCAGCTACGCTCGGGCCCTAACTAGGGCCCCGTTGGGGCACTGGCGGGCCCGAGCCGTGTCACGCCGCCCCCAGCGCGACCGCCTCCCCCACCCGATCGCGTCACACTCAAGGTCCGGAGATGGTGTGCGCACTTGTTTGTGGTCATTTACCATTATAATGAACGGGAGGCGCAGTTTCTACCAAAACGCTCGCTGCAGAAAAACTCCATGTCCTATTTGAAAAAAGTCTGGACCATGAGTGAGGGCACAAACACAGCTAAGATATATCCAAATGGCAAGTTGCTCCTCCTTTCGCTTTTGCCGAGAGAGCAGTGCGTTTGAGCCATTGAATGATGAACATGAAAAACTTGACTTTATTCTCCTGCCATGGGGGGGCGCTCTTTTAACGAGAAAAAACTCCTTCACAAATGTGTTGATGGCTGGACATTGCATCATCCTAGAAAACATGGAGGCCAGTGAGGACAAAAATAAAAAGTTATAAGACTTTTAAATATGTGGATTTTACGGTTATCTTTGGCGCCCCCTAGAACCTAAACCGTGGGGTGCAGCGTCATGATTTGAATAACTTTTAATGGCCATGGGGTGTAGATTGGCCTGAGCAAATGTGGTGCCGGTGGAACGAAAGCCTTCGGAGGAGTTAGCGAAATTCCAATGTGTGCGAATCTGCAAAAAATGCGAAATAACCCTTTAACCGTACATTTGACAGATACGTGGCCATTGACTTTTTCGAAGATCTTATTGAAATACACGTGTGTGTAAAATTTTGTGTCATTTTGACAAAGCGTATAGGCGTGACACTCAACAATGTGTATTTTCAACTTAGTGGACAAGAAAAAATGGACTTTTTTCTCCTGCCATGGGGGGGCGCTCTTTTGGCGAGTAAAAATTCCTTCACAAATGTGTTGATGGCTGGACATTGCATCATCCTAGAAAACTTGGAGGCCAGTGGGGACAAAAATAAAAAGTTATAAGACTTTTAAATATGTGGATTTTACGGTTATCTTTGGTGCCCCCTAGAACCTAAACCGTGGGGTGCAGCGTCATGATTTGAATAACTTTTAATGGCCATGGGGTGTAGATTGGCCTGAGCAAATGTGGTGCCGGTGGAACGAAAGCCTTCGGAGGAGTTAGCGAAATTCCAATGTGTGCGGATCGGCAAAAAATGCGGAATAACCCTTTAACTGTACATTTGACAGATACGCGCGCATTGACTTTTTCGTAGATCTTATTGAGATACATGTGTGTGTCAATTTTTGTGTCATTTTGCCAAAGCGTACAGGTGTTACACTCAACAATGTGTATTTTCACCTTAGGGGACAAGAAAAAATGGACTTTTTTCTCCTGCCATGGGGGGGCGCTCTTTTGGGGAGTAAAAATTCCTTCACAAATGTGTTGATGGCTGGACATTGCATCATCCTAGAAAACTTGGAGGCCAGTGAGGGCAAAAATAAAAAGTTATAAGACTTTTAAATATGTGGATCTTAGGGTTATCTTTGGCGCCCCCTAGAACCTAAACCGTGGGGTGCAGCGTCATGATTTGAATAACTTTTAATGGCCATGGGGTGTAGATTGGCCTGAGCAAATGTGGTGCCGGTGGAACGAAAGCCTTCAAAGGAGTTAGCGAAATTCCAATGTGTGCGGATCGGCAAAAAATGCGAAATAACCCTTTAACCGTACATTTGACAGATACGCCCGCACTGACTTTTTTGTAGATCTTATTGAGATACATGTGTGTGTCAATTTTTGTGTCATTTTGACAAAGCGTACAGGCGTGACAGTCAATAGTGTGAATTTTCACCTTAGGGGGCGCTATGGAGCCATTTTGCATTTTCTTGTTTGGGCGACTTCGGAATATCAAATTTTTCACCAGGCCCGGTCGTCCTGCCAAATTTCATGAGTTTTCGCCATAGGGAAGTGGGCCATTTTCCAGTTCAAAGGGGAGGAAAAATAATAATAATAACAAAAGAAGGAAACTACAGGAACAAGAGGGCTCTCGCAGCTGCTTAGCAGCTACGCTCGGGCCCTAATAACAAAAGAAGGAAACTACAGGAACAAGAGGGCTCTCGCAGCTGCTTAGCAGCTACGCTCGGGCCCTAAAGAACTAGGACCCCGTTGGGGCACTGGCGGGCCCGAGCCGTGTCGCGTCGCGTCCCCCCCCCCCCCCCAGTGCGTGTTGCTTTCACTTACACTTGCCACAGCCAGCCTCGTGAGTGCCTAGCCTATTGGATATCACTGTCACCTACACAGGACAGTCATTACCTTTCTATTAATACTTTGTGTTTTAATTTCACATTAATTTCCATATTGTATAAACGACTGGAAAAAACTTGAGCCCCTGCCCCTGTATAATCATGTGCATGTCTCTGTTCTAGCTCCAAGGTGAATCTTCACTGCTCATGTTCTCCTCAGAAGCACTCACCTCACTCCCCTCAGGTTACTGTACACATGCACCAACTGCCTGCTTCAGGTTTGGATGGAGCTTCATGGTTGTCTTCTGGAGAAATGACCAGTCAAGTTGTGTTTGAAATTTGATTTTTTTCAGGGGCAAAAGGAGCCTCTGCATTCTTGTCAAATATGTAAATAGCATGTTTTTGCAGGTGCTAAAAACCAGACTCTGAGTGTGTGTGTGTGTGTGCGTGTGTGTGTGTCTGTGTGTGCGTTCAAGTCACATGACATATTTAACCGGATGTAGCTGCAAGACGGAGCCTCGTTGACTCTCCGTTTCAACTTATCTCAAAAGTGAGGACCTCAACCTATATACCAGTTTTTAAATTGTGTTGATAGGCCAAATAAAACCAGAGTTATGATAAATTATGTCCGCGATACTTTTTTTCTGCTTATTTTGATCACGTTCGGCGCTCGATCGCGCTGTATGAGACAGGAAAACATAGCATGCAGACATTAGCGACAGGTCTTACAGGCGGAAAAGGCTTGCCAAAAGAAAAAAAAAACACACCACAACATCTCTCCTATTGGTGGAAAACTTCACCACAACAACCAATCCAAAATTATATGGTGACTGATTGACAAGGGGAGGGCGCTTACGTTCTTCCTGCAACATGAGAAGGGAGGGAGGGACTCTCAGCAGGGATGCAGTCTGGGACACGTAGTTGCAAACCTAGCGACTTTGTTGTTAGATTCAATGACTTTTCAGACCCCCTAACGACTTTTTTTTAGAAAGAAAGGGACTTTTATCGACTTCTTCTGGAGTTTAGAGACTCTGACATGAAGCAGGCTTTCCTTACTGAGGAGTTAGCAACGCTGCTAAGGGTGCAGAGCCACACATGCGCTCCGAGCTCTGCATGGGAGACTGAAGCTGACAGAGCTGCAGCAGTTAGCAGGTTTCACCCTCAGAGACCACCAGGGGTTCATGTTGAGGCATTTTAATTTTTTTTTTTTTTTTGCCATAGACACTGTCAGCACAATCTGCAGTTACACTAACAAAAATGCTGCAAAAAACAAAGAATTATGGAAAAATTACACATGGACTGACATAGAGGAGGATCTACACAAGTTTTTTACATCATGTTTTACATCATGCATCATTTACATCATGTTTTTTTGTAGTGGCATAAATAAAAAGTGACATTTGTGAGACTATACAGTGTTTTGTAAATAATTTTACAAAGAACGCCTGGGCCATTGCCTGCATTTTGATGTAAATAGAGGTAAATCACTATGTTCTTTGTTAAAAATTTGCATATGTTTTGAAGTTTACAATTTTTATTTGAAGTTTAAGTTTTAAAAACAGTTCATCACACATATTTGTGGTTTTCACAGTAAAAACATTACTTTTTTCCACTCGGATTTTATGTTTTGTGTGTGAATTTGGGTCCAATGTGTAAATATAGTATGTCAAAATGATAAAATAACTGTAAATTGACACAGGTGAGGTTGTGCTGAAAAAAATGATACCAGGCAAGGCAAGGTAAAAATTTTGTAAGAGGAAATATAAAGGTAAAATCTAAAGTAGTCAAAAACGGCCAATAGTGACTCACAGACTCCACAGACAAGTCCCTTTGGCGCCACTCAGTGGGCAAAACTACATTGTCTACTGTAATGTATATTTGGGTCATCTTTGGCGCCCCCTAAAACGTAAACCGTGGGGTGCAGCGTCATGATTTTTACAACTTTGAATGGCCATGGAGTGTAGATTGGCCTGGGCAAATTTGGTGTCAGTGGGACGAAAGCCTTAGGAGGAGTTAGCGAAATTCCAATGTGTGCGAATCGGCAAAAAATGCAAAATAGCCCTTTTACCGTACATTATACAGATACGCGCTCTTTGACTTTTTCGTAGACCTAATTGAGATACACATGATTGTCAATTTTTGTGTCATTTTGCCAAAGCGTACAGGCGTGACAGTCAACAATGTGTATTTTCACCTTAGGGGACAAGAAAAAATGGACTTTTTTCTCCTGCCATGGGGGGGCGCTCTTTTGGGGAGTAAAAATTCCTTCACAAATGTGTTGATGGCTGGACATTGCATCATCCTAGAAAACTTGGAGGCCAGTGAGGACAAAAATAAAAAGTTATAAGACTTTTAAAAATGTGGATTTTTGGGTTATCTTTGGCGCCCCCTAGAACGTAAACCGTGGGGTGCAGCGTCATGATTTGAATAACTTTTAATGGCCATGGGGTGTAATTTGGCCTGAGCAAATGTGGTGCCGGTGGAACGAAAGCCTTCGGAGGAGTTAGCGAAATTCCAATGTGTGCGAATCGGCAAAAAATGCCGAATAACCCTTTAACCGTACATTAGACAGATACGCGCGCATGGACTTTTTTGTAGATCTTATTGAGATACATGTGTGTGTCAATTTTTGTGTCATTTTGACAAAGCGTACAGGCGTGACACTCAACAATGTGTATTTTCACCTTAGGGGACAAGAAAAAAATGGACTTTTTTCTCCTGCCATGGGGGGGCGCTCTTTTGGGGAGTAAAAATTCCTTCACAAATGTGTTGATGGCTGGACATTGCATCATCCTAGAAAACTTGGAGGCCAGTGAGGGCAAAAATAAAAAGTTATAAGACTTTTAAAAATGTGGATTTTAGGGTTATCTTTGGCGCCCCCTAGAACCTAAACCGTGGGGTGCAGCGTCATGATTTGAATAACTTTTAGTGGCCATGGGGTGTAGATTGGCCTGAGCAAATGTGGTGCCGGTGGAACGAAAGCCTTCGGAGGAGTTAGCGAAATTCCAATGTGTGCGGATCGGCAAAAAATGCGAAATAACCCTTTAACCGTACATTTGACAGATACGCCCGCACTGACTTTTTTGTAGATCTTATTGAGATACATGTGTGTGTCAATTTTTGTGTCATTTTGACAAAGCGTACAGGCGTGACAGTCAATAGTGTGAATTTTCACCTTAGGGGGCGCTATGGAGCCATTTTGCATTTTCTTGTTTGGGCGACTTCGGAATATCAAATTTTTCACCAGGCCCGGTCGTCCTGCCAAATTTCCTGAGTTTTCGCCAGTGGGAAGTGGGCCATTTTCCAGTTCAAAGGGGAGGAAAAAGAAGAAAGAAAGAAACAAAGAAAAACCCCTACAGGAATAACAGGGCCTACGCCCGGCTGCTCTGCAGCTGGCTCGGGCCCTAAAGAAAGAAGAAAGAAAAACCTATACAGGAATAATAGGGCTCTACGCCCGGCTGCTCTGCAGCTGGCTCGGGCCCTAACTAGGGCCCCGGTGGGGCACTGTCGGGCCCGAGCCGCGTTGCGCCGCCCCCAGCGCGACCGCCTCCCCCTCCCGATCGCGTCACACTCAAGGTCCAAAGATGGTGTGCGCACTTGTCTGTGGTCATTTCCCATTATAATGAATGGGAGGCGCAGTTTCTACCAAAACACTCGCTGCAGACAAACTACATGTCCTATTTGAAAAAAGTCTGGACCATGAGTGAGGGCACAAACACAGCTAGGATATATCCAAACGGCAAGTTGCTCCTTGTTACGGTGTTGCCGGGAGAGTGATGCGATTGAGCCATTGAGTGATGGGCAGGAAAAACTTGACTGTTTCTCCTGCCATGAGGGTTGGGGGATGAGGGGGGGGGGGATGTGGATTCTTTTAAGAATGTGGATATTTGGGTCATCTTTGGCGCCCCCTAGAACGTAAACCGTGGGGTGCAGCGTCATGATTTTTACAACTTTGAATGGCCATGGGGTGTAGATTGGCCTGAGCAAATTTGGTGTCAGTGGGACGAAAGCCTTAGGAGGAGTTAGCCACATTCCAATGTGTGCGAATCGGCAAAAAATGCAAAATAGCCCTTTAACCGTACATTTTACAGATACGCGCGCATTGACTTTTTCGTAGATCTTATTGAGATACATGTGATTGTCAAATTTTGTGTCAATATGACAAAGCGTACAGGTATGACAGTCAACAATGTGTTTTTTCACCTTATGGGACAAGAAAAAATGGACTTTTTTCTCCTGCCATGGGGGGGCGCTCTTTTGGGGAGTAAAAATTCCTTCACAAATGTGTTGATGGCTGGACATTGCATCATCCTAGAAAACTTGGAGGCCAGTGAGGACAAAAATAAAAAGTTATAAGACTTTTAAATATGTGGATTTTAGGGTTATCTTTGGCGCCCCCTAGAACCTAAACCGTGGGGTGCAGCGTCATGATTTGAATAACTTTTAATGGCCATGGGGTGTAGATTGGCCTGAGCAAATGTGGTGCCGGTGGAACGCCAGCCTTAGGAGGAGTTAGCGAAATTCCAATGTGTGCGGGTCAGCAAAAAATGCGCAATAACCCTTTAACCGTACATTTGACAGATACGCCCGCACTGACTTTTTTGTAGATCTTATTGAGATACATGTGTGTGTCAATTTTTGTGTCAATATGACAAAGCGTAAAGGCGTGACAGTCAATAGTGTGAATTTTCACCTTAGGGGGCGCTATGGAGCCATTTTGCATTTTCTTGTTTGGGCGACTTCGGAATATCAAATTTTTCACCAGGCCCGGTCATCCTGCCAAATTTCATGAGTTTTCGCCAGTGGGAAGTGGGCCATTTTCCAGTTCAAAGGGGAGGAAAAAGAAGAAACTAGGGCCCCGTTGGGGCACTGGCGGGCCCGAGCCGTGTCCCTCCCCCCCCCCCCCAACGTGCTGCCTTCCCGTCCCATTTGTGTCCTCTGGCCATCGCCCTCTCTGGTAACGCCCATCACTGCAAAGACCCTTTTCCTTCATCAGCGTTTGCTGTTCTTCCTGCCAGTGCGTGTTGCTTTCACTTACACTTGCCACAGCCAGCCTCGTGAGTGCCTAGCCTATTGGATATCACTGTCACCTACACAGGACAGTCATACTTTGTTTTTTAATTTCACATTAATTTCCATATTGTATAAACGACTGGAAAAAACTTGAGCCCCTGCCCCTGTATAATCATGTGCATGTCTCTGTTCTAGCTCCAAGGTGAATCTTCACTGCTCATGTTCTCCTCAGAAGCAGTCACCTCACTCCCCTCAGGTTACTGTACACATGCACCAACTGCCTGCTTCAGGTTTGGATGGAGCTTCATGGTTGTCTTTTGGAGAAATGAGCAGTCAAGTTGTGTTTGAAATTTGATTTTTTTCAGGGGCAAAAGGAAGCCTCTGCATTCTTGTCAAATATGTAAATAGCATGTTTTTGCAGGTGCTAAAAAACAGACTCTGAGTGTGTGTGTGTGTGTGTGTGTGTGTGTGTGTGTGTGTGTGTGTGTGTGTGTGTGTGTGTGTGTGTGTGTGTATCCTGCAGTACTCTGAGAAGAATAATAAGCATATTTCTGAGGTGAATTTTGAAGATTCATCTGAGAGTTAGGTTTGATTCGATTCGATTGACGCTCCCCAGCGTTCAAGTCACATGATATATTTAACCGGATGTAGCTGCAAGACGGAGCCTCGTTGACTCTCCGTTTCAACTTATCTCAAAAGTGAGGACCTCAACCTATATACCAGTTTTTAAATTGTGTTGATAGGCCAAATAAAACCAGAGTTATGATAAATTATGTCCGCGATACTTTTTTTCTGCTTATTTTGATCACGTTCGGCGCTCGATCGCGCTGTATGAGACAGGAAAACATAGCATGCACACATTAGCGACAGGTCTTACAGGCGGAAAAGGCTTGCCAAAAGAAAAAAAAACACACCACAACATCTCTCCTATTGGTGGAAAACTTCACCACAACAACCAATCCAAAATTATATGGTGACTGATTGACAAGGGGCGGGCGCTTACGTTCTTCCTGCAACATGAGAAGGGAGGGAGGGACTCTCAGCAGGGATGCAGTCTGGGACACGTAGTTGCAAACCTAGCGACTTTGTTGTTAGATTCAATGACTTTTCAGACCCCCTAACGACTTTTTTTAGAAAGAAAGGGACTTTTATCGACTTCTTCTGGAGTTTAGAGACTCTGACATGAAGCAGGCTTTCCTTACTGAGGAGTTAGCAACGCTGCTAAGGGTGCAGAGCCACACATGCGCTCCGAGCTCTGCATGGGAGACTGAAGCTGACAGAGCTGCAGCAGTTAGCAGGTTTCACCCTCAGAGACCACCAGGGGTTCATGTTGAGGCATTTTCAGTTTTTGTTTTTTTTGCCATAGACTGTCAGCACAATCTGCAGTTACACTAACAAAAATGCTGCAAAAAACAAAGAATTATGGAAAAATTACACATGGACTGACATAGAGGAGGATCTACACAAGTTTTTTACATCATGTTTTACATCATGCATCATTTACATCATGTTTTTTTGTAGTGGCATAAATAAAAAGTGACATTTGTGAGACTATACAGTGTTTTGTAAATAATTTTACAAAGAACGCCTGGGCCATTGCCTGCATTTTGATGTAAATAGAGGTAAATTACTATGTTCTTTGTTAAAAATTTGCATATGTTTTGAAGTTTACAATTTTTATTTGAAGTTTAAGTTTTAAAAACAGTTCATCACACATATTTGTGTTTTAATTTCACATTAATTTCCATATTGTATAAATGACTGGAAAAAACTTGAGCCCCTGCCCCTGTATAATCATGTGCACGTCCCTGTTCTAGCTCCAAGGTGAATCTTCACTGCTCATGTTCTCCTCAGAAATAGTCACCTCACTCCCCTCAGGTTACTGTACACATGCACCAACTATCTGCTTCAGGTTTGGATGGAGCTTCATGGTTGTCTTTTGGAGAAATGAACAGTCAAGTTGTGTTTGAAATCTGATTTTTTTCAGGGGCAAAAGGAAGCCTCTGCATTCTTGTCAAATATGTAAACAGCATGTTTTTGCAGGTGCTAAAAAACAGACTCTGAGTGTGTGTGTGTGTGTGTGTGTGTGTGTGTGTGTGTGTGTGTGTGTGTGTGTGTGTGTTATATGTGTGTGTATCCTGCAGTACTCTGTACTCCTGCAGTGGCCAAAAAGACTTTTAAGAATGTGGATTTTTGGGTCATCTTTGGCGCCCCCTAGAACTGCAGTACTCTGTACTCCTGCAGTGGCCAAAATGACTTTTAAGAATGTGGATTTTTGGGTCATCTTTGGTGCCCCCTAGAACGTAAACCGTGGGGTGCAGCGTCATGATTTTTACAACTTTGAATGGGCATGGGGTGTAGATTGCCCTGAGCAAATTTGGTATCGGTGGGACGAAAGCCTTAGGAGGAGATAGCCACATTCCAATGTGTGCGAATCGGCAAAAAATGCGAAATAGCCCTTTAACCGTACATTATACAGATACGCGCTTTTTGACTTTTTCGTAGATCTAATTGAGATACACGTGATTTTCAATTTTTGTGTCAATATGACAAAGCGTTCAGGCATGACACTCAACAATGTGTATTTTCATGTAAGGGGACAAGAAAAAATTGACTTTTTTCTCCTGCCATGGGGGGGCGCTCTTTTGGGGAGTAAAAATTCCTTCACAAATGTGTTGATGGCTGGACATTGCATCATCCTAGAAAACTTGGAGGGCAGTGAGGACAAAAATAAAAAGTTAAAAGACTTTTAAGAATGTGGATTTTGGGTTATCTTTGGCGCCCCCTAGAACCTAAACCTTGGGGTGCAGCGTCATGATTTGTACAACTTTTAATGGCCATGGGGGGTAGATTGGCCTGCGCAAATGTGGTGCCGGTCGAACGAAAGCCTTCGGAGGAGTTAGCGAAATTCCAATGTGTGCAGATCTGCAAAAAATGCAAAATAACCCATTAACCGTACATTTGACAGATACGCCCGCACTGACTTTTTTGTAGATCTTATTAAGATACATGTGTGTGTCAATTTTTGTGTCAATATGACAAAGCGTACAGCCGTCATGTGAATTTTCACCTTAGGGGGCGCTATGGAGCCATTTTGCATTTTATTGTTCGGGCGACTTTAGAATATCGAATTTTTCACCAGGCCCGGTCGTCCTGCCAAATTTCCTGAGTTTTCGCCAGTGGGAAGTGGGCCATTTTCCAGTTTAAAGCGGAGGAAAAATAATAACGAAAGAAGGAAACATGCAGGAACAAGAGGGCTCTCGCAGCTGCTTAGCAGTTACGCTCGGGCCCTAACTAGGGCCCCGTTGGGGCACTGGCGGGCCCGAGCCGTGTCGCACCCCCCCCCCCCCCCCCCAACGCGCTGCCTCCCCGTCCCATTCGTGTCCTCTGGCCATCGCCCTCTCTGGTAACGCCCATCACTGCAAAGACCCTTTTCCTTCATCGGCGTTTGCTGTTCTTCCTGCCAGTGCGTGTTGCTTTCACTTACACTTGCCACAGCCAGCCTCGTGAGTGCCTAGCCTATTGGATATCACTGTCACCTACACAGGACAGTCATTACCTTTCTATTAATACTTTGTTTTTAATTTCACATTAATTTCCATATTGTATAAACAACTGGAAAAAACTTGAGCCCCTGCCCCTGTATTATCATGTGCACGTCCCTGTTCTAGCTCCAAGGTGAATCTTCACGGCTCATGTTCTCCTCAGAAGCAGTCACCTCACTCCCCTCAGGTTACTGTACACATGCACCAACTGCCTGCTTCAGGTTTGGATGGAGCTTCATGGTTGTCTTTTGGAGAAATGAGCAGTCAAGTTGTGTTTGAAATTTGATTTTTTTCAGGGGCAAAAGGAAGCCTCTGCATTCTTGTCAAATATGTAAATAGCATGTTTTTGCAGGTGCTAAAAAACAGACTCTGAGTGTGTGTGTGTGTGTGTGTGTGTGTGTGTGTGTGTGTGTGTGTGTGCGTGTGTGTGTGTGTGTCTGTGTGTGTGTGTGTGTGTGTGTATCCTGCAGTACTCTGAGAAGAATAATAAGCATATTTCTGAGGTGAATTTTGAAGATTCATCTGAGAGTTAGGTTTGATTCGATTCGATTGACGCTCCCCAGCGTTCAAGTCACATGACATATTTAACCGGATGTAGCTGCAATACGGAGCCTCGTTAACTCTCCGTTTCAACTTATCTCAAAAGTGAGGACCTCAACCTATATACCAGTTTTTAAATTGTGTTGATAGGCCAAATAAAACCAGAGTTATGATAAATTATGTCCGCGATACTTTTTTTCTGCTTATTTTGATCACGTTCGGCGCTCGATCGCGCTGTATGAGACAGGAAAACATAGCATGCACACATTAGCGACAGGTCTTACAGGCGGAAAAGGCTTGCCAAAAGAAAAAAAAACACACCACAACATCTCTCCTATTGGTGGAAAACTTCACCACAACAACCAATCCAAAATTATATGGTGACTGATTGACATGGGGCGGGCGCTTACGTTCTTCCTGCAACATGAGAAGGGAGGGAGGGACTCTCAGCAGGGATGCAGTCTGGGACACGTAGTTGCAAACCTAGCGACTTTGTTGTTAGATTCAATTACTTTTCAGACCCCCTAACGACTTTTTTTTTGAAAGAAAGGGACTTTTATCGACTTCTTCTGGAGTTTAGAGACTCTGACATGAAGCAGGCTTTCCTTACTGAGGAGTTAGCAACGCTGCTAAGGGTGCAGAGCCACACATGCGCTCCGAGCTCTGCATGGGAGACTGAAGCTGACAGAGCTGCAGCAGTTAGCAGGTTTTACCCTCAGAGACCACCAGGGGTTCATGTTGAGGCATTTTCAGTTTTTGTTTTTTTTGCCATAGACTGTCAGCACAATCTGCAGTTACACTAACAAAAATGCTGCAAAAAACAAAGAATTATGGAAAAATTACACATGGACTGACATAGAGGAGGATCTACACAAGTTTTTTACATCATGTTTTAGATCATGCATCATTTACATCATGTTTTTTTGTAGTGGCATAAATAAAAAGTGACATTTGTGAGACTATACAGTGTTTTGTAAATAATTTTACAAAGAACGCCTGGGCCGTTGCCTGCATTTTGATGTAAATAGAGGTAAATTACTATGTTCTTTGTTAAAAATTTGCATATGTTTTGAAGTTTACAATTTTTATTTGAAGTTTAAGTTTTAAAAACAGTTCATCACACATATTTGTGGTTTAATTTCACATTAATTTCCATATTGTATAAATGACTGGAAAAAACTTGAGCCCCTGCCCCTGTATAATCATGTGCACGTCCCTGTTCTAGCTCCAAGGTGAATCTTCACTGCTCATGTTCTCCTCAGAAATAGTCACCTCACTCCCCTCAGGTTACTGTACACATGCACCAACTATCTGCTTCAGGTTTGGATGGAGCTTCCTGGTTGTCTTTTGGAGAAATTAACAGTCAAGTTGTGTTTGAAATCTAATTTTTTTCAGGGGCAAAAGGAAGCCTCTGCATTCTTGTCAAATATGTAAACAGCATGTTTTTGCAGGTGCTAAAAAACAGACTCTGAGTGTGTGTGTGTGTGTGTGTGTGTGTGTGTGTGTGTGTGTGTGTGTGTGTGTATGTGTGTGTATCCTGCAGTACTCTGTACTCCTGCAGTGGCCAAAAAGACTTTTAAGAATGTGGATTTTTGGGTCATCTTTGGCGCCCCCTAGAACTGCAGTACTCTGTACTCCTGCAGTGGCCAAAATGACTTTTAAGAATGTGGATTTTTGGGTCATCTTTGGCGCCCCCTAGAACGTAAACCGTGGGGTGCAGCGTCATGATTTTTACAACTTTGAATGGGCATGGGGTGTAGATTGCCCTGAGCAAATTTGGTATCGGTGGGACGAAAGTCTTAGGAGGAGATAGCCACATTCCAATGTGTGCGAATCGGCAAAAAATGCGAAATAGCCCTTTAACCGTACATTATACAGATACGCGCTTTTTGACTTTTTCGTAGATCTAATTGAGATACACATGATTGTCAATTTTTGTGTCAATATGACAAAGCGTTCAGGCGTGACACTCAACAATGTGTATTTTCATGTAAGGGGACAAGAAAAAAAGGACTTTTTTCTCCTGCCATGGGGGGGCGCTCTTTTGGGGAGTAAAAATTCCTTCACAAATGTGTTGATGGCTGGACATTGCATCATCCTAGAAAACTTGGAGGGCAGTGAGGACAAAAATAAAAAGTTATAAGACTTTTAAGAATGTGGATTTTGGGTTATCTTTGGCGCCCCCTAGAACGTAAACCGTGGGGTGCAGCGTCATGATTTGTACAACTTTTAATGGCCATGGGGGGTAGATTGGCCTGCGCAAATGTGGTGCCGGTCGAACGAAAGCCTTCGGAGGAGTTAGCGAAATTCCAATGTGTGCAGATCTGCAAAAAATGCAAAATAACCCATTAACCGTACATTTGACAGATACGCCCGCACTGACTTTTTTGTAGATCTTATTGAGATACATGTGTGTGTCAATTTTTGTGTCAATATGACAAAGCGTACAGCCGTCATGTGAATTTTCACCTTAGGGGGCGCTATGGAGCCATTTTGCATTTTATTGTTTGGGCGACTTCAGAATATCGAATTTTTTACCAGGCCCGGTCGTCCTGCCAAATTTCCTGAGTTTTCGCCAGTGGGAAGTGGGCCATTTTCCAGTTTAAAGCGGAGGAAAAATAATAACGAAAGAAGGAAACATGCAGGAACAAGAGGGCTCTCGCAGCTGCTTAGCAGCTACGCTCGGGCCCTAACTAGGACCCCGTTGGGGCACTGGCGGGCCCGAGCTGTGTCGCGTCCCACCCCCCAACGCGCTGCCTCCCCATCCCATTTGTTTCCTCTGGCCATCGCCCTCTCTGGTAACGCCCATCACTGCAAAGACCCTTTTCCTTCATCAGCGTTTGCTGTTCTTCCTGCCAGTGCGTGTTGCTTTCACTTACACTTGCCACAGCCAGCCTCGTGAGTGCCTAGCCTATTGGATATCACTGTCACCTACACAGGACAGTCATTACCTTTCTATTAATACTTTGTTTTTTAATTTCACATTAATTTCCATATTGTATAAACAACTGGAAAAAACTTGAGCCCCTGCCCCTGTATAATCATGTGCACGTCTCTGTTCTAGCTCTAAGGTGAATCTTCACTGCTCATGTTCTCCTCAGAAGCAGTCACCTCACTCCCCTCAGGTTACTGTACACATACACCAACTGCCTGCTTCAGGTTTGGATGGAGCTTCATGGTTGTCTTTTGGAGAAATGAGCAGTCAAGTTGTGTTTGAAATTTGATTTTTTTCAGGGGCAAAAGGAGCCTCTGCATTCTTGTCAAATATGTAAATAGCATGTTTTTGCAGGTGCTAAAAACCAGACTCTGAGTGTGTGTGTGTGCGTGTGTGTGTGTGTCTGTGTGTGTGTGTGTGCGTTCAAGTCACATGACATATTTAACCGGATGTAGCTGCAAGACGGAGCCTCGTTGACTCTCCGTTTCAACTTATCTCAAAAGTGAGGACCTCAACCTATATACCAGTTTTTAAATTGTGTTGATAGGCCAAATAAAACCAGAGTTATGATAAATTATGTCCGCGATACTTGTTTTCTGCTTATTTTGATCACGTTCGGCGCTCGATCGCGCTGTCTGAGACAGGAAAACATAGCATGCAGACATTAGCGACAGCTCTTACAGGCAGAAAAGGCTTGCCAAAGGAAAAAAAAAACACACCACAACATCTCTCCTATTGGTGGAAAACTTCACCACAACAACCAATCCAAAATTATATGGTGACTGATTGACAAGGGGCGGGCGCTTACGTTCTTCCTGCAACATGAGAAGGGAGGGAGGGACTCTCAGCAGGGATGCAGTCTGGGACACGTAGTTGCAAACCTAGCGACTTTGTTGTTAGATTCAATGACTTTTCAGACCCCCTAACGACTTTTTTTTAGAAAGAAAGTGACTTTTATCGACTTCTTCTGGAGTTTAGAGACTCTGACATGAAGCAGGCTTTCCTTACTGAGGAGTTAGCAACGCTGCTAAGGGTGCAGAGCCACACATGCGCTCCGAGCTCTGCATGGGAGACTGAAGCTGACAGAGCTGCAGCAGTTAGCAGGTTTCACCCTCAGAGACCACCAGGGGTTCATGTTGAGGCATTTTTAGTTTTTTTTTTTTTTTTTTGCCATAGACACTGTCAGCACAATCTGCAGTTACACTAACAAAAATGCTGCAAAAAACAAAGAATTATGGAAAAATTACACATGGACTAACATAGAGGAGGATCTACACAAGTTTTTTACATCATGTTTTACATCATGCATCATTTACATCATGTTTTTTTGTAGTGGCATAAATAAAAAGTGACATTTGTGAGACTATACAGTGTTTTGTAAATAATTTTACAAAGAACACCTGGGCCATTGCCTGCATTTTGATGTAAATAGAGGTAAATTACTATGTTCTTTGTTAAAAATTTGCATATGTTTTGAAGTTTACAATTTTTATTTGAAGTTTAAGTTTTAAAAACAGTTCATCACACATATTTGTGGTTTTCACAGTAAAAACGTTACTTTTTTCCACTCGGATTTTATGTTTTGTGTGTGAATTTGGGTCCAATGTGTAAATATAGTATGTCAAAATGATAAAATAACTGTAAATTGACACAGGTGAGGTTGTGCTGAAAAAAATGATACCAGGCAAGGCAAGGTAAAAATTTTGTAAGAGGAAATATAAAGGTAAAATCTAAAGTAGTCAAAAACGGCCAATAGTGACTCACAGACTCCACAGACAAGTCCCTTTGGCGCCACTCAGTGGGCAAAACTACTTTGTCTACTGTAATGTATATTTGGGTCATCTTTGGCGCCCCCTAAAACGTAAACCGTGGGGTGCAGCGTCATGATTTTTACAACTTTGAATGGCCATGGAGTGTAGATTGGCCTGAGCAAATTTGGTGTCAGTGGGACGAAAGCCTTAGGAGGAGTTAGCGAAATTCCAATGTGTGCGAATTGGCAAAAAATGCAAAATAGCCCTTTTACCGTACATTATACAGATACGCGCTCTTTGACTTTTTCGTAGATCTAATTGAGATACACATGATTGTCAATTTTTGTGTCATTTTGCCAAAGCGTACAGGCGTGACAGTCAACAATGTGTATTTTCACCTTAGGGGACAAGAAAAAATGGACTTTTTTCTCCTGCCATGGGGGGGCGCTCTATTAGGGAGTAAAAATTCCTTCTCAAATGTGTTGATGGCTGGACATTGCATCATCCTAGAAAACTTGGAGGCCAGTGAGGACAAAAATAAAAAGTTATAAGACTTTTAAAAATGTGGATTTTTGGGTTATCTTTGGCGCCCCCTAGAACGTAAACCGTGGGGTGCAGCGTCATGATTTGAATAACTTTTAATGGCCATGGGGTGTAATTTGGCCTGAGCAAATGTGGTGCCGGTGGAACGAAAGCCTTCGGAGGAGTTAGCGAAATTCCAATGTGTGCGAATCGGCAAAAAATGCGGAATAACCCTTTAACCGTACATTTGACAGATACGCGCGCATGGACTTTTTTGTAGATCTTATTGAGATACATGTGTGTGTCAATTTTTGTGTCATTTTGACAAAGCGTACAGGCGTGACACTCAACAATGTGTATTTTCACCTTAGGGGACAAGAAAAAATGGACTTTTTTCTCCTGCCATGGGGGGGCGCTCTTTTGGGGAGTAAAAATTCCTTCACAAATGTGTTGATGGCTGGACATTGCATCATCCTAGAAAACTTGGAGGCCAGTGAGGACAAAAATAAAAAGTTATAAGACTTTTAAATATGTGGATTTTTGGGTTATCTTTGGCGCCCCCTAGAACCTAAACCTTGGGGTGCAGCGTCATGATTTTGATAACTTTTAATGGCCACGGGGTGTAGATTGGCCTGAGCAAATGTGGTGCCGGTGGAACGAAAGCCTTCGGAGGAGTTAGCGAAATTCCAATGTGTGCGGATCGGCAAAAAATGCGAAATAACCCTTTAACCGTACATTTGACAGATACGGCCGCACTGACTTTTTTGTAGATCTTATTGAGATACATATGTGTGTCGATTTTTGTGTCAATATGACAAAGCGTACAGGCGTGACAGTCAATAGTGTGAATTTCCACCTTAGGGGGCGCTATGGAGCCATTTTGCATTTTATTGTTTGGGCGACTTCAGAATATCGAATTTTTCACCAGGCCCGGTTGTCCTGCCAAATTTCATGAGTTTTCGCCAGTGGGAAGTGGGCCATTTTCCAGTTCAAAGGGGAGGAAAAAGAAGAAAGAAAGAAAGAACTAGGGCCCCGTTGGGGCACTGGCGGGCCCGAGCCGTGTCACGCCGCCCCCAGCGCGACCGCCTCCCGATCCCGATCGCGTCACACTCAAGGTCCAAAGATGGTGTGCGCACTTGTTTGTGGTCATTTACCATTATAATGAACGGGAGGCGCAGTTTCTACCAAAACGCTCGCTGCAGAAAAACTCCATGTCCTATTTGAAAAAAGTCTGGACCATGAGTGAGGGCACAAACACAGCTAAGATATATCCAAATGGCAAGTTGCTCCTCCTTTCGCTTTTGCCGAGAGAGCAGTGCGTTTGAGCCATTGAATGATGAACAGGAAAAACTTGACTTTATTCTCCTGCCATGGGGGGGCGCTCTTTTAAAGAGAAAAAACTCCTTCACAAATGTGTTGATGGCTGGACATTGCATCATCCTAGAAAACATGGAGGCCAGTGAGGACAAAAATAAAAAGTTATAAGACTTTTAAATATGTGGATTTTAGGGTTATCTTTGGCGCCCCCTAGAACCTAAACCGTGGGGTGCAGCGTCATGATTTGAATAACTTTTAATGGCCATGGGGTGTAGATTGGCCTGAGCAAATGTGGTGCCGGTGGAACGAAAGCCTTCGGAGGAATTAGCGAAATTCCAATGTGTGCGAATCTGCAAAAAATGCGAAATAACCCTTTAACCGTACATTTTACAGATACGTGGCCATTGACTTTTTCGAAGATCTTATGTAAATACACGTGTATGTAAAATTTTGTGTCAATACGACAAAACATACAGGCGTAGCACTCAACAATGTGTATTTTCACCTTAGTGGACAAGAAAAAATTGACTTTTTTCTCCTGCCATGGGGGGGCGCTCTTTTGCCGAGTAAAAATTCCTTCACAAATGTGTTGATGGCTGGACATTGCATCATCCTAGAAAACTTGGAGGCCAGTGGGGACAAAAATAAAAAGTTATAAGACTTTTAAATATGTGGATTTTACGGTTATCTTTGGCTCCCCCTAGAACCTAAACCGTGGGGTGCAGCGTCATGATTTGAATAACTTTTAATGGCCATGGGGTGTAGATTGGCCTGAGCAAATGTGGTGCCGGTGGAACGAAAGCCTTCGGAGGAGTTAGCGAAATTCCAATGTGTGCGGATCGGCAAAAAATGCGGAATAACCCTTTAACCGTACATTTGACAGATACGCGCGCATTGACTTTTTCGTAGATCTTATTGAGATACATGTGTGTGTCAATTTTTGTGTCATTTTGCCAAAGCGTACAGGTGTTACACTCAACAATGTGTATTTTCACCTTAGGGGACAAGAAAAAATGGACTTTTTTCTCCTGCCATGGGGGGGCGCTCTTTTGGGGAGTAAAAATTCCTTCACAAATGTGTTGATGGCTGGACATTGCATCATCCTAGAAAACTTGGAGGCCATTGAGGGCAAAAATAAAAAGTTATAAGACTTTTAAATATGTGGATCTTAGGGTTATCTTTGGCGCCCCCTAGAACCTAAACCGTGGGGTGCAGCGTCATGATTTGAATAACTTTTAATGGCCATGGGGTGTAGATTGGCCTGAGCAAATGTGGTGCCGGTGGAACGAAAGCCTTCGGAGGAGTTAGCGAAATTCCAATGTGTGCGGATCGGCAAAAAATGCGAAATAACCCTTTAATTGTACATTTGACAGATACGCCCGCACTGACTTTTTTGTAGATCTTATTGAGATACATGTGTGTGTCAATTTTTGTGTCATTTTGACAAAGCGTACCGTCGTGACAGTGAATAGTGTGAATTTTCACCTTAGGGGGCGCTTTGGAGCCATTTTGCATTTTCTTGTTTGGGCGACTTCGGAATATCAAATTTTTCACCAGGCCCGGTCGTCCTGCCAAATTTCATGAGTTTTCGCCAGTGGGAAGTGGGCCATTTTCCAGTTCAAAGGGGAGGAAAAATAATAACTAGGACCCCGTTGGGGCACTGGCGGGCCCGAGCCGTGACGCGTCCCCCCCCCAACGTGCTGCCTCCCCGTCCCATTTGTGTCCTCTGGCCATCGCCCTCTCTGGTAACGCCCATCACTGCAAAGACCCTTTTCCTTCATCGGCGTTTG